AAGTCAGGCTTTCTCAGATGATCATGATCCCCCTGCTTGACTCACGCCCCTGCTTGACCATCACGTATCAGGAGTCGAAGCTGGTCTAAACATCCTCAAACGTTAAGGACAGCATTCATATCCAAGGACGCTCAGGAGTAAGCAACTGTCCCAGGAAGGCTATTCATGTTTATTATCACTGAATGCTGCAGTTACTATCATGCAGAAGAGAATGCAGTTGTCCTTTAGTCTACAGCAGTGTTTTCAACCTTTTTTATCTCATGGCACAGTTTAGCCTATAGTTAAACTTCCTTGGCACACTCAAATTATGTTGATCAAAAAAAAAGGTAGAAAAAAAGAATATTCTGACTGTGCTTTGAACTTCTTTCAAAAATAATTTAATTAATGATCTTTAAAACTTTCTAAGGCACAGCTAAGATCCTCTGATGGCATCCAGTGTGCAGCACAGGGGTTGGAAATCACTGGTCTAGAGGGTATGTGAAACACTTCTGAGTCTCACTGTGAGATCTGCAGGCCTCGGGCCATCAACCACCATGCCTGTCCTGCTCTGCTGCCCCACAGACCAGAAACCAGGCCTCTCCTTCACAACGAGGCCTGTTCCATGAACCTCACGGGTGATCCAAGCTGGAGCGACAGGGTATTTTGGGTAGTGGATGCTATAATTCAAATGTGAGTCTTAAAACACCTGTTGTTTTAGCAATGGCTTTGTTCTAAGTGAAGATAAGACTCCTAACATAGGAATTAATGTTTGCTTTAATAGACTGCACCCTGAGTTAAGTTTTAAAATTTATGAGTTCTCTGCAGCATTGTTCTCTAAACAATGGCATTGCCAAATACGACCATTAAAGATTAAAGTTCCTGCAGTAGATTCAGCACAAATCATCTGTCCTCCTGTTTCAGCATCGTTTGCTCGTCCGTCACGACGCCAAGCATTGCTGGTCAGTGTCGATGAGCTCTGCATCCGCACAGCTAACAGATGTCTGCTCCTGTCGAATGAATCACTTTATGTTTCATGCACTGCTGGTCGCAGATGTGTCACTATAGCAACATCATTAATTTCAGATCTTACCGGAAGCATGCACTCCAATCAGACCTCATTACCCCACACTGCTTTCTTGTCCACAAGGAGGAAAGTATAACACAATCCTTGGGATGCTTCATTTTCTGTCCCACTGCAGTAAATGATCGCCCCACTGAGAGGGATGCTTCTGTCAAAAGCCTATAGATGTGGCATGAAGCCTGTCTGCAATCACGGATGGACCCTTCCAACTATGTCAGTGACAGGGGGCTCCTCAGGCCAGCAGCACATTCTTCATCATTTCAGCAGAAACACACAGCACTTAGTCAAACTGCCTTTGGCTCCTACACTCCCCCTGAATCCTTCACGCTAACGAGGACCCACCCGCTGTGAGAGCCTCTACTGCGACTGAGGCCACCAAAGATGTGGGAACCTAAGTGACAGTCCCATTCTGCCTCCCTGGGTATAGTACTGTGGCATCACAGCTCACAGCAACCTCAAACTCCTGGGTTCCAGATCCTCCTGCCTCAGCCTCCCGAGTAGCTGGGACTATAGGCATGCACATCACACCCAGATAGTTTTTCTATTTTTAGTAGAGATGGGGGTCTCACTTTTGCTAAGGCCAGTCTTGAACTCCTGAGCTCAACCAATCCACCTGTCTCAGCCTCCCTCCAGACTGTTGGGTTACAGGCATGAGCTGCTACAACTTCTGATTTATAGACTGAGGGGTGACTGAAGACAGAATTATGTACATAATAATTATATTATAGAACGAAGGGTCCTGTAATTAGAGAGGGCCTAATTATTTAAGTTCCTGGGATGAAACAACCATGTGGCAGTGAGCAGGTGCACAGGCTGTGCCAGGGAGTGTGAGGCCGCACAGGGTGCCGGTTCAAGGCCAGCTGTTTTACCCTGACGTGATTTGCACATCTGTGTTCGCCTGACTACATGTCCTAGAGCTGAGTGTCAAACCACCACAACACTTTAAAGGCTGATGAGACATTTATTTTGCTCAGACGGTTAAAGGAATTGTCTACAATCACACACAGAGGGAGCGCAGGACACTGCTCAGGTCTGTCTAACTCCCAAGCCTATTTCCTTTCCACACGACCACGTGAAACATATCTGACCCTCCAGGCCCACCTCAGAGAAGTTGTGGTTTGGTTCCAGACCCCTGCAATGAAGCTAAAGGGGAAATAAAGCCAGCCATGGGAATTTTTGGTTCTTAAGTGTTTTGGGTTATAGTTGTGTCCCCAGTTATGCTAAAAAACACTGTAGTCTATTTAGTGTCCAGCAGCATTGTGTAAAAAAGCAACATGTATACTTAATTAAAAATTACTTTATTGCTAAAAAATGCTGGTGATCATCTGGGCCCCCCTTCAGTTCTAATCTTGCTGCTGGTGGAGGGTCTTCCTCAGCGTCCATGGTGCTGACTGACCAGGATAGTGGCTACTGACGGGGGGGGGGGGGGGGGTTGGTTTTGAAATAAGACAACAGAGAAGTTTGCTGCATCGATTGACTTTCTTTCACAAAAGATTTATCTATAGTACAAGATGCTGTTTACAGCTTTTTTACTCACAGTAGAACTTTCAAAAGTGGAGTCGATCCTCTCAAACCTGCCGCTGCTCTGTTAGCTAAGTTTATGGAACATTCTAGTCCTTTTCTGTCATTTCAACAACGTTCACAGCATCCTCACTGGGAGAAGATTCAATGTTGAGAAACCACTGTCTTTGCTCATCCTTAAGAAGCACCTCCTCATTCAGATTTCATCCTGAGATTGCGGCAATTCAGTCCCATCTTCAGGCCCTACTACTAAGTCTCGTTCTCCTGCTGTTCCCTCCACATCTGCAGAGACTTCCTGCACTGAGGTCTTGAACCTCTCAGTCATCCATTGGGGCTGAAATGAATGTCTCCCAAACTCCCGTCAATGTTGACATTTTGACCTCCTCCCATGAATCACAAATGTTCTAGATGGCATCTAGAATGGTGAATCCTTTCTAAAAGGGTTTAAGTTTACTTTGCCCAAGTCCATCAGAGGAATCACTATTTATGGCAGCTATGGCCTTATGAAATGTACTACTTAAATAATAAAAGAAGTCTTGAAAGTCAAAATTACTCTCTGATTTGTGAGTTACAGAATAGGCACTGTGTTACAGGCATGAGAAGAAGAGGAATCTCTTTATACCTCCCCATCAGAGCACTTGGGTGAGGAGGGGCATTGTCAATGAGCAGTGATATTTTGTAAAGACATGTTTTTCTTAGCAGTAGGTCTGAACAGTGGGCTTAAAATATTCAATAAACCCTGCTGTGTACAGCTGTGCCATTATCCAGGCTTTGTTGTTCCATTTCTAGAGCACAGGAGAGTAGATTTAGCATCACTCATAAGGGTCCTGGGACCTTCAGAAAGGTCAATGGCACTGGCTGCAATGTAGGGTCACAGCTGCGTCAGCCTGGTAAGAGGCAGCCTGGCTTCGGAAGCTCTGCAGCGCTAACAGTCCTGGTGGCGTCTCCCCCAATAGGAGACTGTTTCCCTGCACCCCCTTTTCAGTGATTTTGGCTAGATATTCCTGATAACTTCCTGCATCTTCTCCATCGGCACCACTGATTCACCCTGAAATCTGCGTCACAGAGATGCTTGTTCCTAAAAACTCATGAACGAAGCTCTGTGAATATTCTCAGTCAGGGATCTCTGTGTCCCTTCTACCTCTCAGTTTTAAGTAGCTGGGCTGTTCTGGACAGGAAGTTTGTGCCTCAGTCAGTTCTCCACTTACATATCAGAAAGCTGCTTTGTGAGTTTAACCTGTGACTCTCACTTTACTGATTTCTTAGTCTTAGTAGTATCAGATGATTTCCTTGATTAATTGTTATACCTGCAAATATTTATTTCTGGCTTTATATTTTATTTCTGTTTTTTGTCTTTCTAAAACAGAGCTTGCATAACAAATGTTAAAATAACAGTGCTGTCAGCCGACTGCTCTTCTTCCTGACTTTTCTAATATTTAATTATTAAAAAAGATGTTGTATTTTGTTTGAGACATATTTTCTTTATTGTGTGTATAAATATTCTTTTCTTTCTTGTTTACTAAGAATTGACTTGGAATTTAAACCATATATCAATAAATTAGGTAAAAATTTTACCCTTAGATATAGCTTATCATATTACTATGTTCAATATGTCTTCTGTAAAAAAATAAGTTATGGACTGATACGAGATTTCTAATTACAAAAATAAGAAAAATATGAAATAAGGACAAATAGAATTTGGGGCATAGACCTTCAGGGCAGGATAAGCAATTTGCAGTAAAGCTTTTTTTTTATTGTAGAGACAGAGTCTCACTATGTTGCCCTTGGTAGGGTGCCACGGCATCACACAGCTCAGAGCAACCTTCAACTCCTGGGCTTTAGGCAATTCTCTTGTCTCAGTCTCCCAAGTAGCTGGGACCGCAGGTGCCCGCCACAATGCCCAGCTATTATTTTTCTTGCAGTTTGGCCAGGCTGGGTTTGAGCCTGCCACCCTTGGTATATGGGGCTGGTGCCCTACTCACTGAGCCACAGAGCCACCTTGCAGTAAAGCTCTTTACAAGAATGTGACCACTAAATACCAAACTCACATGCCTTGTCATTCTCTCCTGACACCTCACAGATATCGTTCTACAATAAACACATAATTTTTTGCTCTTAAGCCATGAGAGAGGTGCTATAAACCCAGTTAAAAAAACTGTAAGACTATAGAAAATTAAAAATACAGAAAAATATCACTTAAAGCTCTAAGAATTTAACATTGTGATAAATCTTACATACCGTGCATACTAAAAGATGAAGTTGTAAGAAATCTTCAGGAGCAGAGTATGAAAAACTCTAAATATGAATTCAATATTCTAACACACACATATCTACATAAACATAAGCATGTATGTATAAACATCCTACGATCATTTTTGATCAGATAATTACTTGGTCCCTTCAAAGGTGAACACAATACCTGTTTTATCTGTCAGTAAATACACCAGGCGCCCCAGCTCCTCTGGTATCGTGCTGGTCCGGACAACTGTGCCAGGGATATTCTCATCTCTCATTATCATCCATCCATAGGCTGCTTTGCCCATGTCCAAGTTCACACGCAAACTGCCAAATAAAACCCACTGCAGTCATTAGTATGATATGGAACCACACAGTGAGCCCACATTCATGTACCATCACATTCCATGTAAATGTATCTAGTTACAAACATTAATTTTATAAGGAAAAGATAGTATTGAAGTTAAGACTTTGAAATCAATGAAGTTGATAACATTTAAGTCAACAAATATTTTTACAGCCCAGATAATGTTTGTAGGTGTCCAAAGAGATGGGTCACATTCTGTCCTTCAACACAGAGCACAGTGCTAGATGGAACAGAACAGTGGACCACGGTATATTCTGTATTTACCTGGAAAGAGCTGAAGCACAGTCTCCCTAGTAAAGTTATCTCAATGACGGAAAAACAAGCAACCCATGTGCTCAGTTCTAAATTGAAACTAGATCAACAACTACAGCCCCACATGACAGGGAAACACGATTAAACTCAAGGAGGGGAGGTGGGCAGGGGGCTCAGTAAGTGCCCACCTAACAGGCACAGTATGTGGCACATCTCCTGGGTGAACAACTCAACTATAACTTGGACTTCACCTAACAAACTCAAACAGTGTATCCTAATCGTAAGTAATGGTTTTTAAATAAAAACCATTAAATCTGCATCCTGAATATTGAAATCCTCTTCCCCAAGCTGTTCCCAGCCCATTTCTGGCTGTCAGGTGCATGCCCCACCTGAACTCTCCTGGCTGCTGAGGCGGACAGATCCAAACAAACAAATACCAACACAACAGGAATCAGGGAGCTGAAGGGACAACGAGAACAGAGTGGGACTGTGAGAGTCTTTTATTGATGTTCTCAGAGAAGTAAGTGAGGATATTTCATTCATGAAACAGGTGTTAAGAGAGGTGAAGAGAAAAGAAGAAAAAATTCACAAAACTTAATGACGGCTGAACTGAAAACATCAAATAAGGGTTGGAGAGGAGTATTAAAGAATTTCTCAGGAAGGAGAATAATAGGGAAGTAAAATGGAAGAGGATAGTAGAGAAAGAGTAATTGCTTTAAAGAATCAATCTAGAAGGTTTTATATCTGATTAACTGATGTTTGAAAAGAACAGCTGTAGGGCTGGGCATGGTGGCTCATGCATGTCATCTCAGTGCTCTGGGAGGCTGAGGCAGGTGGATCCCTGAACTTAGGAGTTTGAGACCAGGATGAGCCAGAGTGAGATCCCATCTCTAAAATTAGCTGGGTGTTGTGGTGGGCACCTGTAGTCCCAGCTACACTGGAGGCTGAGGCCAAGGGGATCACCTGAGCCCAAGAGTTTGAGGTTGTTGTGAGCTATGACACCATGACACTTTACTCAAAGTGACAGAGTGACACTTTGTCTTAAAAAAAAAAAGGAATTGACCTCTACTAGGTATATACCCAGATGATCAAAAATTATTTACAACAAAGACATGTTCACCAGAATGTTTATAGTAGCCCAATTCATAATAGCCAAGACATGGAAACAGCCTAACTGCCCATCGACCCATGAACGGATCAACAAATTGTGGTATATGCACACCATGGAATGCTATGCAGCCATAAAGAAAGATGGAGACAGGCGGTGCCTGTGGCTCAACTGAGTAGGGCGCCAGCTGCATATACTAGAGGTGGTGGGTTCAAACCCAGCCCCAGCCAAAAAAAACTGGAAAAAAAAAAAAAAAAAGAAAGATGGAGACATCACATCTTTTATGTTTACCTGGATGGAGCTGGAACATGTTCTTCTCAGTAAAGTATCTCAAGAATGGAAAAAAAAGTATCCAATGTACTCAATACTACTATGAAATCAATATATAATCACCTACACACTCATATGAATGGCAAAACGTAACTATAGTCCAGAAAGAAGGAGGGTAGAGCGGGGGTGGGGAGGGATTTGGGAGGAGGGAGGGTATTTGAGGGGACCTCACCTAATGTGCATGATGCAATAGTACACTTCAAAACTATTAAGAAATGAGTATAATTGTGATGGATGTGTTACTTAGTTCAATGTGAGCATTTCACATTGTATATCGAAGCAGTACCCTGAACCCCATAAATGCATCAATGTACAAAATTTTGATTTATTAAAAAATAATAATAATGAAAAATAAGAGGAATTGAGAAAAAGGATGGGAAGAAGTGGCATAATAATAGTAATAATAATATTCATCCTTTCCTTCCCTGCCTGCTTTCTTCTTCAAGGAAGCCTCTTAGAATTCCCATGTATGAGTCCAGCACAGGATGGATCTCCCGTCAGGGGGGTCAGGAGAGCATGCAGAGACCACAACAGTCACACTGTCCTGTGCAGCAGTCACTGGCCGCAGGTGACTGACTGACCATTCAGTACTTGACATGTGGCCAGTCTGAATTGAGAGGTGCTGTTAGTATAAAAGAGACACTAGGTTTTGAAGTACAAAACCCATAAAATTATCTCATTAAAACTTTTGTATTGCTCTCATGTTAAATGATAATATATTTTTGACATGGGCTAAATAAAATCTATTTTAAAAATTCTATTTCTGAGACAGAGTCTCACTATGTCACCCTGGGTAGAGTGCCATGGTGTCACAGCTCACAGCACCTCAAACTCTTGGGCTTAAGTGATTCTCTTGCCTTAGCTTCCCAAGTAGCTGGGACTACAGGTGCCCGTCACAATGCCCAGCTATTTTTTTGTTGCAGTTGTCATTGTTGTTCAGCAGGCCCAGGCTGGGTTTGAACCCGTCACCCTAGGTGTATGTGGCTGGCACCGTAACCACTGTGCTACAGAGAACAGATAGAACGTGCTTAATCCATGGAGGAAAACTATCAACTCCTTTTGACCTACCAAAATGGCAATTCACATGCTTCAACCTGTACACCCTTAACAGAACAAGCTCTAGGAATCACAATCAGTGAAGAAGGTCTACAGGTAAGTTAAAGAAAATTAAATAACTATAATTTATCTGTTCATGAATTTCACATCTTAAAGATTACTTGAACTATACTAGTCAGAAAAACTCTCTGACTATTACATAGACTTTTTAAACCAGCACTTGACCATCATGTAGCTACTTACAATTCTGTTGGGACGGTGAACCCATCAGAGACAACACCCTGTCTCAAGGGTGATGCTGCAGGCAGGACGCAGCCGTGGTCCCCAGCCCAGGAGCAAGGCAGCACCTGGTCGGGAGGGCTGGCTGGTCGCTACCGGCTCTGAAGCCAGAGCCATCGTATCCCCAAGTTGCCTATGGGGCTTCCTGTTACCACCAGGTGAGGACCGAGACCTCCTTCACTGGCAGGGATGACCTACTGTGGCTGGAGAGGCCTTGGGACATTGGGACAGTCCTACAAATGGCCACTAAACAGCAGTCCTGTGCTGGGGAGTTGAGAAGGGAAAGAAGAGACATTTATTCAGAATCTTCTTTGACTTGGGCTTTGGAGAAAGGTTCTTTTTCTTTATTTTTTTTTTGAGACATAGTCTCACTTTGTCACCCTGGTAGAGTGCCGTGGGATCATAGCTTACAGCAACCTCAAACTCCTGGACTCAAGTGATCCTCCTGTCTCAGCCCTAGAGTAGCGGGGACTACAGGCACCTGTCGCCACTCCCAGCAGGTTTTTCTATTTTTAGTAGAGATGGAGTCTCGCTCTTGCTCTGGCTGGTTTCAAACTCCTGACCTCAGGGTGCTGGGATGAAAGGCGTGGGCTACCACACCTGGTCAGAAAAATTCTTTATGAATCATAAAAATGAAGTCATGGGCCACTTAGCTTAAATTAGGTAAAAAAAAAAGCTGGAGGGACAGAGGCAGGCAAGGTGGCCAGTAAGTGCCAGAGCATGGCATGGGAGAGTGGGTCAGGAAGAGGGCCGGGCATCCTGGTGAGCCCTCCCAGCTCTCATTCTGTGGCTAAGAGTTCTGCACTTGGAGAAACATGACCTTTTGTTGTGTTGTGCTGTTTCACATTTTGCTTGAAATATTTTGGAAAATGTCAGCTACTGAATGCAAACAGATTTCTGCCCTCAGTTGGGCGGTAGTGTCTGGAGTCTGCGGTTTGCCAGGAGGTCATGATGGGCAAGGAGTGTCTCCAGGGAGCTGCCCTCCTCACATTGTAAACGATTTATGTTGTAATGAAAGAATTTCTGTTATTACGGAGTTGTAAGAAGTTATTATTTCATGGAATATTATATTAATATTATACTCTAATTACTACTGATATATTTTAGGCTAAATACAAATACTCTCTGAAGATTGCATAAAGCAGTAGCTACCCATGAAAAAGAGGGGCGAGACCATGTCCAGAGTGGTGACCGTGAGCACAGCTGCTGCGGAGGGCCAGCTCCTCAGCCTAGGGACAGGAGACCATGTCCAGAGTGGTGACCG